TATCTTTGCAGCGTGAGGGAGCGGCGCGCAGCGATGCGGAGCGTGAGAGGCGCGCGCGCGGAGACTGGGAGGCCAGGGCGAGGGGCGCAGAGGAAGATGCCGCGCGGCTGGCTGGCAAACTGCACGCGGCCCAACGCGAGATCGCCAGGTGAGTGGAGATAGAAAGAAATAAAGAAAAATAACATTTGTTGGAACAGCTTACTCTTGTCTCACGACACACAATAAAAAAATTAACAAATATTGTGAAGAATAGAAAAATAAACCTAAATTTAAAAAATAATAAGAAAACATTAATATAATTTTAGCCCATTAACACTATTTTTTTGCGATAAGTTGCCAAACGAGCAGACGGGTCACGTGATGGTAAGTGAATACCGCCGCCCATGGACATGGGTGGTAGGGCTACGCAGCAGCCTCGGTTATTGCACAAACGGGCAGGCTCGTCCGGGTGAATACCACGACCTCACAGAAGACCGGTGTAAAGTGTAAGTATGACAAATACTTTCACGCTTCGTCTGGTGAGTGAGGTGGCCGGAGCCCAATTTTCAAAAGGTTGTCAACGCATCTGGAACCTTCGGGCGTCAGATGTCCATGGGCGGCGGTATTCACTTAACATCAGGTGAACCGCCTGCTCGCTTGGTAACACTATCACATAAAGAAAAAAAAAGTCTGATATCGTCAGGGACTTCCTCAAAATGAACTAGAAAATGTGTATATGTATGTAGCGGGTGAGATATTTAAATGTGTTTTGTTTTATTGTAAATGAAATTGCTGTACTTGTCGAATTATAGAGTGACTTGGTGACTAACACGCTTTCCTTATACCCTAGTACATTGCGAATGCAGTTGTTTCTGGTTTTTCATTATGCCCTCTAGAAATCTCTAGAGCTCTAGTCATGTAAGAGATTCGTTTGTACATTGTTTGATGTTTGTTTTGTGCCATAAAACCTAGCATTAAAACTACTGAACAAATAAAGTCTCGCTTCCGAAACATCTACGATAAATAAAAGCTTAACTTCTTTAATAAACCAAATTAATCTTGTTAAACCAGTTCGCTTGTTTACTTACCTTAGTATTCATCAACGAACCCGCTAGTATTTATCGAGTAACCCGTTCAGGTGTAATCGTTTTTAAAGCATTGTATACGCGGAGCTCGTCGTTGGCGTAAGTAATTACTTCGTGTAATTAATATTGGTAACTTGACTCCGCTCTGTTATGTAGGCGGCACATATAGAGTTCGTATCAATTTCGCGCCGTAGCGTATCAATCGATATCGATAATTGGACTTCATGGCCCGATTTAATTTAACTACACCGTAACATCACTATTTACAATCGACTTTAATGATCGAGTCATTACATTACGCAGCTTGTTTACGGGTGTTGCCGTTTATTTTTTTCGTTCTTTGATCGAATTATTTTTATCTGTGTTTGGGTTTTTTCTTTTTACTTTTTATCACAGTTTTATTTCAAGAGTCGTTTGAGTGGTAAGTTATTGTAAACATTCTATTTTCAAAACCTAAAAGAAAGCTCTGGCGCGATCCACGCGTCGTTTCTGTTCATGAATGGGACAAATACCTTCTCTATTTTTAATTCATATACGTTTTACACAGGAAAGTCTTGTCCTGAACTAAGTTTAAGAAAATATAAATTGTATGATTTATAATTATGATGATTACATGTTGATAATGATAACACATGTCAATGAACTAACTATATTTCGATAATTTTGTCTTGTTTCTTCTTTTTTATTCTTAAAGTTTCGTATGATTTGTTTGGAATAGGTTGAGAAGAAAGGCGTATTGGAAAACGAGGGTGATGAGAAAAGCAGAATAATAATAATTGTCTTAGTTAGTGCGTTAGGTAAAGGTATGAGGAATTTTGCATCAAAGTTATAATTCTTATAACGTTAGCAAAAACATTATGAGTTGACGATGGATACATTCCATTTTAGGCTCACACTAATGAACAACACAAACACATTAGGGAATCGAACCCGCACTGCCTCACTATCATATACTGGGGGAGTTCTGACAACTCATTTGTCAAGGATAATAGATCCACAAAATACTCTCTTTGTGAGCTCCGTATCACGCAGATATATCTTGTTTCATCATTCGTTGATTGTCAAGAAAACTTAGTAAATAATTAAACGTTGCCTCTTAATGGGCAATGAAATTAATACTGGCGAGATAACACCGTACCGCTTTACGGTATTCAACAAAAATAATATAAATACACTGAAGCATAACTTCTAAGACAATAAATTTTTTTTCAATATTTTTTTTTATCTGAGAAGGTGGTCAAACTAACTGACGGTTCACCTGTTGTTAAGTTGTAACCGCCGCCCATTGACAGTTGCAACAACTGTGGGGTTCGAGATGCGTTGCCACTTTGTTCCGACCAGTTGCTTCGGCTCCCTCACTCACCAGACGAAACGCCGAAGTATAACTCTCCCACTTCGGGTGAGGTCGTGGTACCCCGGACGGACATGCCCATTCGTGCGTCAGAGAAGACTGTTGTGGGACCCTACCATTTATTTTGCTCATCGTACTTATTCCAGTTTTCAAGTTCAAATTATGTTTATATTTATACATTGGACTATGTGGTAAATCTGAAGGAGGCATACGAGATGATTGAACTAGACCAAATTTTATCAAATTTAGTTACAGTCTCAAATACTAAAGATACAATATTATCAACTGGCTGCTGCCCGGGACTACGTCTGGGTAGGGCTGAAGGTGTAACATTAAGACAGATATACATAAAATTATAGCCTATGTCTTATTCTGATGTATAAGCTATAGTATTGTAAAGTTTAATTTAATCCATTTAGTAGTATTTGCGTGAAACAGTAACAAACATCCATCCATACATACAAACTTTCACATTTATAATATTAGTAAGGAAGCAAGGATGTGTTTGTAAACATAACGCAAAACTGCGACAAATATTTAGTTCAACACTTTTACCATCGGAAAACTTTTATAACGGGGATATCAATTTTAACGTATCAAAAGACACGCCGATGAAATTGCATCGGAACCACGACCGACAGTGTCCCTTTTAAACCGCAAACCTACCCCGTGGACGTTATGAAAAACTGCCCCACGTCCAGACTAAACAAACACGAGGTGGCGTTGATAATATTTTTAAAACAAACAAAAACTCGTTCAAATACTGGCTTCAATAAAAAAAGACAACTATATCAAGTTTGAAACGTTCCTTATCAATATTGTACATTACGAAACATAATGCTGCTAACAGTAACGGTAGTAAATAGATATGTTACTAAATATTAGGTTCTTTGCATGAATACCGTCTTCATTGCATGATTATTATACTCATCGTCTATTTATATATGTTACTGCCAACTACCAAAGTATTTGGGAGTCTGAAAATGGGTTAATACTAATCGATAGGTCACCTTACATATGTTCGTGTGTAAATCATTATATAATTTCACACACATGCAAAAGCGTGTCTAAAAAACAAAACAACACCATCCGACCGCAAGAGCGCTGTCGGTCAAACTCGCAGTAACTGCAATAACAGAGGCCTCTACCTAAATAATCGTTTTATTCCACCCTCGGAGATATTTTACTGCTCGAATTCGTTTGTGAGGTGGAGGCTTATAGACAGATGGCGGCTCCCATAGAGTGATTGACGCGGGATCTACGTAGCGGTTACTTGGTTATTTTTGATATCACGTTGTTGCCTATAATTCTACTCGTTTTGATCGAGGTTAGATTCAATGCGGCGAAGTTATTGTCACAAAATAGATCGTCCTATGCAGGATAGGTTAACAGTTGGCATGGCTAAGAATTAGTTAATTAGCATGTGACATTTCATGTCCCCTGACTATCGACCAATGACGCTTAACGTTGACCTTAGGAATTAACGAAAAAACATTATCTTCTGATTGTTAACCGTGTATTTCATGAATCTTTTTTTGAGATGTTCTCCTAATGGCGAACCTACATTATATGTATAAAGTTCTGCCAAGAATGCTGTGACTAGGATCCTCAGTCCCCGTACGAATGGAAGATACACTGTGAGAGTTAGGAAGTTCGCAAATTTTAATTTGTATTGATAAAAAGGCGAACAAATTTTCCTTTTATTTAATTATACAACCATGTGTTAAAATGGGTTTTATAAATAGAAACTCACTTTTAGGGAATTAACAATTTATATATTAAATAGAACTTTTTGAAAATAATAGTACATCTAATGTAATCTAACTAGAGATAATTGTGTGGCTGACTACTCGCGACTGCGCGTCGACTGACGTGTTTTGACCTTAAATAATTTTTAGTTACTTAAAAAAAATCACGTCGGTGTCTGTAGCTAACTTCACAATACGAGGGTTGCCATATGTAATTAATTGTTCTTTTCTCCTATTACAATAAATTAATTTAAAAATTATTTCTTTGGCATAATGTTATGATTTAACTTTTAACATAATAAATCAAGTATACCTTATAGATTATTTAAATTTATATTGAAAATTTTACATAATTATTATTTATCTCTAACAACTCGGCCATCCGACTTAAAAAAAATAACGAGTCCCCTCGTTATAAAAAAAAAGTTTTAGATTAATTCTAGTAATGTAAATCTACTGCAAAATGATGAGTGGACTTAACATGATTTAATTAATAATTTTATTAACCGTTACAATACAGAGTTTTATTATGATTTAATTTAACATAAGCATAACGGTGACAACAACAATCTTGATATAATGGTAACACTTATACACTTGTGGTTATATTTTCTAATTTAATTTCATACATGAGATAATCATAAATCAAAACTTGTTACAATACATATATTATTATATCGAGGTACTGTTTCACATTTTGTCGAGGACGTAATTGCCTTGTAACCATTCAGAAGTTGGCCATGACAGTACCAATTCTGACAAGGTCCCATGCTGACTAAATTATATTTTATTCATTACTTACATCGAAGCACTGCTTCACATTCTGTCGAGGATTTACTTGCCTTGTGACCATTCAGAATCTGGCCATGACAGTACCAACTCTGACATGGTCCCGTGGTGACCAAATTCTTTTCTTATCTCCAAGGGCACAAGGCCGGCCATGACAGTACCCAGAGACTGGCCATGACAGTACCAATCTCTGCATTGGAGAGTTGCAACTTACAATTCTGATTGTACAAAACATAACTGACCGTTACTTATTGACCTTCATCGTCAACTACATTGTCACTGGCTGAAGACACATCATCATCATAGGCATTGCCAAAACTTAGCCAAGGAAACAGTTTATCCAAAGCAACAATGGCTTCATACGTTTTACCCTTCTTAGTCAAGGGAGTATCCTCAATGACAAATCTGTCGTTTGGGAGCACCCTTTTAATTCTGTATGGCCCGCGACATTTAGCTTCTAGTTTTCTAGACTGCCCATCTTGACTGGGGATATTTCTAAGAACTCTGACTAGGTCACCTACTACAAAGTTATGTCCTTTCTTTCTATGTAAATCGTAACGCTCCTTATCTTTATCTTGTTGCTTCTCTATTAAATACTTTACAGTCTCCCGCATATCTTCTAGATTAGAAACATCGTTACCTACGTCTTGTATAATTTCATTAAGTGTACCTAGAGCAGGATGGGTAGCTCTGTAACCAAATAATAATTCTGTAGGAGTTTTTTTTGTTGTAGCATGGATGGCGGTGTTTATACCTAACTGAATATCTGTCAAATGTTCGTCCCAGTTTCCCTTAGGCTTTTCATGAGTCATCGTTCCTAGTGCCGCTAGGATAGTGCGGTTGTACCGCTCTACCTGGCCGTTAGCTCGGGGAGTGGCTACGGCATTAAACACATGCTTTATTCCTAAGGACTTAACAAAGTCTTTAAATCTCTTTCCCGTAAAACTAGTGCTCTGATCAGTTATTAACCGTGTTGGTGTCCCAAAATAACTAATATGCTCCTTAAGAACATGTACGCTCGTAGACGATTTTGGTGTTACGGACAGCAGTTATATTAATGAATTTGGTAAAAGCATCAATGATTACAAGTATATAGCTATTTCCCCTTTTACTTCTGTTGAACGGGCCCAAATGGTCTGCATGGATTGTGTGGAATGGGATGTCTACTTTTGGGATTGGATGAAGTAAACCAGATCTACTTCCCGAAGGGACTTTATGATGGGCGCATTCAAGACACGCACCAACATATTTCTTTATGAATTTACGCATTTTTGGGAACCAAAAGGTGTCTTTAATCCTGTTAAGCGTCTTTTCGAAGCCGAAGTGACCAACTTCGTCATGATTTGCCTTAAGGATTTGCCAACGTACCCCTTTTGGTACCACCCACCTTAATACATCTGGTTCTACAATACGATAGACACGATTATTCTTAATTTTGTAATTTTTTAATGATATCGGCGATATATTCAGATTGTGGGTCAGTCAACACATCTTTGATGTGTTTGATCTCATCATCGCTATCCTGCACTGTTGCAATCCAATCTTGAGAACCTACGTTCAGTATATCCAATACTCGTGTTTCAGAGCAATTTTCATCAGGAATAGGGTATCTACTTAAGGCATCAGCGTGGGCCATTCTTTCACCAGGTCTATATTCAATAGAGCAGTCGTACTCTTGGAATTGTATCCACCATCTTGCAATTCGGGGTATAAGATCCCTCTTGGTTAACGTGGTTCGTAATGAATTGCAATCAGTTACAATTTTAAATTTGATTCCGAGCAAGTAAACCCGAAACTTGTTCAAGGATGCTATCACGGCCAATGTTTCGAGTTCATATGAATGAAACTTTTGTTCATCTATAGTGGTCTGCCGGCTATAATAAGCTACTGGTTGGAACGCACCTCTCTCTCCCTTTTGCATTAGAATACCAGCTACGCCCAATTTGCTTGCGTCTGTATGCAACTGTGTTTCTGCCTGTGGGTTATACAAAGCAAGAATAGGTCTTTGCACCAAATCTTGTTTTAGGTTGTCAAAAGAATTTTGTTCAGTTTCTGTCCAACGCCACTTAGAGTCTTTCTTCAGGAGCTCAGTTAGTGGTCTCGCTTTTGTTGCGAATCCTCTAACGAATCTTCTAAAGAAACTGGCTAAGCCAATAAAACGGCGGACATCATGAGGGTTTTGAGGTACAGGAAATTTAGAAACTGCATCAGTTTTTAAAGAGCCTGGTCTGATTCCGGCAGCACTTATTTCGAAACCAAGGTAATCTATCTTATCGAAACAGAACCTACATTTTTCAAGTTTCAAAGTAAGCCCACCCGTTTTAAAAAGCACTAATACCTCTTCGAGAGACATAAGACATTCTTCGAAAGAACGGCTAGGGATCAGGACATCATCCATATAGACAAGTGCATGTTTATTCCTAGCTTTACTCAAAATCTTATTAACTGCTCTCTGAAATACCGAAGGTGCATTTACCAGCCCAAACGGCATACGATTATATTCATATTGGCCGTCAGGTGTGACAAAGGCAGTTTTCTCACGAGATTCTTCGGCAATCGGGATTTGGTAATACCCGGATGCCAAATCTAACGTAACAAAAATTGTATTACCAGCTAAGAGATCCAACTGGTCTTCTATGCGAGGGAGTGGATAATGTTCTTTGATGGTCTTGCTGTTCAGAGCTCTATAATCGACGCATAGTCGCTTCTCACCAGACTTCTTTTGCACTAAAACTATGGGGCTAGCGTAAGGCGAGGAGGACTCACGAATAATACCACACTCCAGCATTTCCTGAACCATAGATTGAACCAATTGTCTATCCGTATATGAAAGGCGATAAGGTCGATAGACTACAGGTTCAGAGTCTTTTAAATGAATCTCCATTTCGGTTCCTGTCGTATATCCTAATTCTTGCAAGTTAGAAGAGAAGCATTCTCTGTATTTCATAAGCAAGTCCACGAGTTTAATTTTCTGTTGAGGCGTTATGTTACCACATTTAAGAGTATCATCAGTCAGTGATATGTCTAATACATCATAAGTATTTTGCCTATTTATTGGGTCTGCTGCACGAGCACGTGTTATTAATGTATCATTCGGTATGGTAAACGTTCTATTACATATGTTTTGTATTAGTAACATACCTTGTCCATTATTTAAATCATATTCGCCCGGTAAGAGAAAGTATTCATTACCCGGGCTTCCCCGGATAGTTCCATGCACGTAAACCTTACCACTATAAATAGAGTTACACTTAACTTTTATAGCGTTTGTACTGTTAGGTTTTAAGGTATTGTTTTGAGTAGTTGATAATACAAACTTCGAACTAATCGGAGTCTCGCTACGCTTAACTATTATATCCGTATCAGTTTTTATAATTTCTAATAATGGACGTTCTGTGTACGTATGTCCGAGTAACACTGGGTCGTTAATCATGTCGTCAGTTACGATAAGAACCTCTACGTTCCCTTCAACAACATTTTGCACGTCTATATCAACAAATGCTCGGCCAACTGGGCGGTAGGGTATGTTACCTAGCCCCTTTAATATGGGCAACGAACCAGTTTCCCAGGTAATCCCTATATTTACCGCACTGGTGAGTTTAATCAAAGTGCATTCGCTGCCTAAATCGATATGGGCCCTCAGTGTTTTGCCATTAACCTTGATTGGTATTTTATATTTGGCGCTAATGTTATCAGCTGAATGGACCTCCATTACGGACTGCGATTCTACATTTATTTTTGATCCAGAACCTTGATTTGATTTATTAGGGCAATTGTCAGCCAAGTGCCCTCTTAATTGGCAATTAGCGCATTTAACTGTAGGCTTTGAGCAACGGTAAAATGTATGGCCTATCTCATTGCAATTATAGCATTTTATTTGGCTCTGTGTCCTTGTCCTTTTATTGTTGTCCAAAAATCTTTGGTTAAGCTTTCTGTCCTGTCTATCAATAATTTTAGCCTTAGGGTCGATATTATTGTTAGATTGATTTGTCTTGACACTTTTGAAAAACTTTAATAGTTGTTCAGGCTCACGAAATTGTGCCCCTTGGGCACCTAAGCGGATTCCTCTATCGTCTATGCCATAAATTATGCAGTCTACTGCTTTTGTGCCATATATTTCGCATCGATTCAGGAGATTAATTTTTGAGTAATAATAACTTTCTAGAGGTTCCCCAAACTTAGCCCTTTTATTAAGCATTTCGGTAAGTATCTCTGCGTAGTTAGTTTGAGAAGGAAACGAATCTGTCAGCTTCAATTTCCACTCAGACCACGTGTGTAGTAGCGACGGAAGGCCCTGATACCAAGTCTTAGCAACGCCACAAAGTTTTGGGATTGCGTAATGAACTATTTGTTTATCAGACCATCCATAAATCTGGGCACATTCCTCAACCTTGTGTATCCAGATCTCGACAGTTTGTTCCCGCGACATGGGGTCAAAATCAGGAACAACATTTAAAACAGGAAATTTCTCTACATCAACAGTATTCCTACTTTTCAAAACATCTAAAAGTCTTTCGAATAATTCTTCATTATTTACGGGTGTACTTCTTTTGTTACGCGGAGATCCTTCTCCCGAGCTTGACCGTGACGATGGGCTATGCAACTGCCGCCTTCTAGAAAGCCGTCTATAAGTATTATCAGTACGAGTTTCTCCTACCTTGTGCACTGTAGGGCTTCGGACCTGTTGCTCATGACGTCGCTTACTTTCCTGCCGTCTTGCCGATCGCCGTTCCCGCGATCTACTTCGACGTAAGGCTGGAGTCTTGGTCCTAGAATGCCGCGCCGCGGTGTCACTTTCATGCTGCGAATCGCCATCATTTGTAGGCCTGGACCGCCTCAAGTGTCGCCTGCGTTTCGGCATTTTCCGTAATAAACTTGTTGTCTGAAACTTACGATTGAATATTTAAGACACTCGAGCCGTGGATATGGATAACAATACATAAGTTGGTTGACATGCTGAAGAATTAAGCACAACCCTCAGAGAATAACCCTGGTAAAGTCGTATGTATATTCACTTCAGAAAGTAGCCCTGGTAAAGTTATATGCCTGTAAACCAACTTCCAGAGAGTAGCCCTGGCCAGGTTGAGTGTTAAAGAAATATGCGTGTAAACCAACCTCCAGAGAGTAGCCCTGGCAAGGTTGAGTGTTAAAGTAATATACGTGTAAACCAACCTCCAGAGAGTAGCCCTGGCTAGGTTGCGTAAATGAATAACTTCCAGAGAGTAGCCCTGGCAAAGTTATATGCGTGTAAACCAACCTCCAGAGAGTAGCCCTGGCTAGGTTGTGTGTCAAAGTTATATGTGTGTGAATCAACCTCCAGAGAGTAGCCCTGGCTAGGTTGCGTAAGTGAATAACTTCCAGAGAGTAGCCCTGGCAAAGTTATATGCATGTGAACCAACCTCCAGAGGGTAGCCCTGGCTAGGTTGTGTGTCAAGGTTATGTGTGTGAATCAACCTCCAGAGAGTAGCCCTGGCTAGGTTGTGTAAGTGTATAACTTCCAGAGAGTAGCCCTGGTAAAGTTATATGCATGTAAACCATGTCCGTGTATGGGTGTTGTAATATAATCATTATGCATAAAACACATTCTAACCTACTTAATTGTTACACAGTTTTACTTAAAGCTTGCTTAAAAACATTATGCAGCTTGCTTAAAAACATTATGCAATAAATTGTTGTAAAGTGGGTAACTTTACAACAATTAATTGCTTTTAACTAAACTAAAAAAAAATAGTATACTAAATCTCAACTAAGAAATATTTCTTTAAAGTCACAAAAGAATGCGGTATTAAATTAAAATAATTGCATATATTGTACTTACGTTACTTTGTGGACGTGGTAAGTAAAACTTAGTTTTACTTAAATCCTGGCTTCTGAGATGTTAAAATGGGTTTTATAAATAGAAACTCACTTTTAGGGAATTAACAATTTATATATTAAATAGAACTTTTTGAAAATAATAGTACATCTAATGTAATCTAACTAGAGATAATTGTGTGGCTGACTACTCGCGACTGCGCGTCGACTGACGTGTTTTGACCTTAAATAATTTTTAGTTACTTAAAAAAAATCACGTCGGTGTCTGTAGCTAACTTCACAATACGAGGGTTGCCATATGTAATTAATTGTTCTTTTCTCCTATTACAATAAATTAATTTAAAAATTATTTCTTTGGCATAATGTTATGATTTAACTTTTAACATAATAAATCAAGTATACCTTATAGATTATTTAAATTTATATTGAAAATTTTACATAATTATTATTTATCTCTAACACATGTTTTGAAAAATAAAAACTGTCCAAATTTACTATTTTTACCATCACGACATTTGTTCATTTGAAATATACGGCGTGGTAATTTCCTTTTATCCCTTTTCAAGGGTAAAACGGGACTTTATTACTAAGGCTCCGCTACCTATCTGTTATTTGTCCGTCTGTTACCAGGCATGTATCTCATGAACCGTGATAGTTAGACAGTGGAAGATGATGTTTCTGTTGCCACTATAACAACAAATACTAAAAAAGATATTAAAAAAATATTTAATATATGATCCGAATGGCGTAGTGGCTATGGTACCTGCCTCCTGCGCCAGAGTGTGTGGGGTCGATACCCACTACTGGAAAAATATTGTGTGATGAACATAGTGTTTTTCTAGTGTCTGGGTGTTTATATATATGCATAATATTTACAAAAGAAAACTATGTTTAAGTATGTTTATCAGTTTTCTGGTACCCATAGTACAAGCTTTGCTTAGTTTGGGACTAGAGAATGTTGTGTAAAAATGTGTCCAAAAAAAAAAAAATTCCTCAATTCGGTTGTATTTTTTCTTTGTTTGTTACCTCAGAACTGATCGTATAGTTAAATTCTCAGTGAGCGGTCACTAATATTAATATTACACGATTACAGTTATTGAAAGAGATTTAATTAACATTCTCCCAGAACGTGGGTGCGTGCAGACTCTCTATTACCGTCAATAACAATATGGCCGCGTCCCAAGCGCTCGGTGTTATATCACCTGTCAAATGTCACTCATTCAATCGTTCAGAAATCAATTAAATAATGTGGTGCCGATATGTACTTCTTTTCCTTTAGATATTAACAGTCGGATAAGTCCGTGAGAGCCGCGCGGATTTCGGACTTAAAAACGAAAAATTCGTTTTTTTTTTTTTTTTTTTTTTCATTTTCCGATTGAAACAACCCAGTCAACTGAGTGTGTGTGCACATAAAAAAAATCAATTAGAATCCCCGGCGGCTGGGCTGGGTAGGGCCGAGGGGGTAGCGAGAGCCGCGCCGTAAATCTCGAAGTCGGGACCGCGCGAAGTTACGGCCGATCGGCCAATCGCTGTGCCGCTTATCTACGTCGAGGCCGTCACCGATTACGGCGCGGAGTCGAACTTCGTTAATTAGCGAGGCGGCGGGTGCTATCGCCGCGCCCCGTTTCTGCCACCCCCGATTTCCAAGTCCTGTCGTATTTCGAGAATCAATGGCAACCGATTAACTCCTCTCCAGATACTCAGTAGTATTGAATAAATCTATCGTCAATATAGCTGACTCAAATTGTGTTCTTAAAGTTTTATTACCTACCCGTGCAATTGTATGCTTAAAACTGTCTATTTTTTAAAGTGGCAGATGGCTCACGTGACTGTAAATGATCACGAGGGAGGGTTAGGAATGGGCTCCTGAATCTCATTGAAATCTCTTCATATTTACCTTTGCAACTCCGAAAAACTCCTTGGTGCTGGTATAAAGTGTTGTTATTAGCGAAACTTTTATCTAAGTCATACCTAATGACATAGGCATGTCTATGTCTGCGTGTAAATCATACCTAACATATTACTTTATCTCTTATCCTTTAAACGAGCAATTCTTGTATATGTATATAATCGGAAACGGCTCCAGCAATTTTCCTGAAATTTAGTATGTGCATAGATTCGGGGGCGAAAAATCGATCTAGCTAGGTTTCATTTTTAGAAAATGTCCTTTTATCACCTGTTTTCAGGGAATGAAAAATATAATTCGAATATGGCGGTAAATTTCGCCGCAAGAGAAAATGTCAAAATAGCTCGGTCGGTAATCGGGCGGCCCCAAAACAGACGGCCGTGGTTCGCGTCATGATCATTTACACATTTATTTTTTTACTTTTTTTTCGATTCCAGATCATTGCTTTCTTTATTCTTAATTTTTTGTCGATTTGTTATTTTTTTCCCTTTTTTTTAAAGTTCTTTCTATTGTGAAAAACATCAGTTCATATTTTTTTATTATTACGTCGATAAGATCGAAAAATATTATGCATATTTCATTACTCAGTAATTTGTATCTAAATGTAATTTCCAAAATACACGATTTACCAAAAAAAAAAAAAACAAACCGAGAAAAGTTCGGTCCTCCGGGTACTACATAATTATGTTGGCTAATAAAGAAGTTTTTTAGGCGGTTAGGGCGTCATAGAACTAGTCTCAGATTTGGGAGCCAAATCTCAGCAACTACTTAAATCGAGGCTATATTTTCGGCCGACAGTAAACCACGGCGCCTCGGCACCTTTTATCTAATTTGTACACCGTTTAATTTGACAAATGCCGCGATATCGGCGCAATGAATCGATTCACGTCAGCCCTTTATGAATATTGATGGCGAGACGCGCGCTGTTTACAAACTCCTGCCGACGCCGGCGTTCATATGAAACCAATAGATCGGTCTGCATCCAAATCGATAGATCGGTTTTATATCTATATCGTAAATCAGTTTTCACGATGAAACAGACACGCAACCTTAGACTGTAGAGAAAGTGAGGTTAGTCCTCTAGTATAATTATAGTTGTATTTTACAATACTATTGTATAAATTTATGTCATACCAATATAACTGAAATTATCGATGAACTGATACTGCCAGCAGTTGCTTGTACATGTGTTCATTTGTTCATTCAGACGAGAGGTTACATAAACACACATGCACAATCACTGAGTATTATTTATGTTACTTAATCTTCATATGAAATTTTTTATAAACACACGACACTTGTGATAGTTTCGATGCAAGTAATATTCAGTTACACAGCAAATACGTCAACCAGTCAAAGGCAGAAGTGAACCAGAGGTTCTTTACAGAATAAAATAAAACAGCCCCGCGAAATCTTTAACCGTGAACTTCACTATGCGGGCGCCCGACCTAATCCACGAGCGTCTATTTACGAGCTCCCCCCACGCTCGTAAAACTTATAAATAATAAGCGGTCGGCGGTGGAAGTCGCGGGGCGCGCCTAGTGGTAATGTCGGGGATTTACGATGATGCGACGTCGAATTCGTTATTTGTTATGGGACTCTATAAATCGGCTCTATCGCTCTAGAATCGTGGCATTCCGCTGGAAAAAATATGTGTATCAAACAGACTTAATCCTGTCTCTTAGTAAACAAATAACTAACCTAATCTAACCTAGACACTGGAAAAACACTATGTATTATAATCACACAATATTTTACCAGTAGTGGGCATCGAACCCACACCCTATGGCGCAAGAGGCAGGGTTGCACCCACTACGCCAATCGGATCGTGCATTATTTGCTCGGTTGACATCTTAGATATATCAAATTCAACATAATGGAGTTTTAGTATCATATATGAGTCGTTATTCTCTAAATTTTTAAGTAAATTATGCACAAAGAAACACTAAAATCCTTAATTTTTTGAAACAATCAAGTTAAAGACTTTTTGTAAATAAATACGACATACATATAAACATAAATGAAAACATGTTTTCTTTTATTTCCGCAAATAGTACGCATTACTAAATTAAATTGTTTTTACATTTTCTTCGCGTTTATTTTTAATTTTAATAAAGGGAAACATATAGTTTGTAACAGACCAAAACGAAAGAAATAAACACATTTTTGTTAAATTGAAACCTAGACGTCAGCTGTCGCATTTAAAACATTTCAGTGACAGAATAGACCCAATCGTCGCGGTACTCGACTAAAAATAATAAGACATCCGATATTTTCTTTCGCGCCTCGCCCCACCCAATGCCGCTTCACCCCCTCTAGAGAGGGGTGACGAAAATTAATATCGCGGAAAGTATAGAAAACCGTTATCGGCTTTTTTGATGTCTATCTGATAATGTTTCACAACCAACAAAGAGATGACTTTATGACAGCGAAAGTGTTGAGCGACTCATTTAAGCGCTTTCATTAAAATGAAACTCAGTTACGATTTTGTTATTCTATATTTTTTATGTTTTATCAAATAATCATAATGAATAAATGCTTTGTGGGGAGACGTTTATGTTCAGCAGTAGAAAGTAAAACGCTGAAATCACAATGAATAATGAATTAATATACTTCACGGTTTAGACACACACTCTGATTTGACTATGTCGGTGCAATGTCTCTGTTTGAGTTGTAATTGAAAACTATCGTTTAGATAATGAATGTTACCATCGGTAGATTCGAATGATTATTTCTACTTAGACAGCATGTGATCGAGAGCAAGAAGGGTGTGGTGTTAAGTACGTCTTTCGATCACAACGGAATGGAAAGGGACGTCTGTACACAAGCACAGCTGAAAAGACTGCTTTAGAATTTAGAAAATGGAAAAAGTGAATGAATTATCTCAAAAAAGCAAGTTTTCCAGTGCGAAGTGGTCCGTAAACAAGTAAATCTTCTTTACTAATTTATAATTTCTGATTGATACTTTTTTCACGCGACGATTTGTCGATTAATGGTAGCACAAATCACTCTCGGCTAGGTGGAGTGGATAGTGGATTTAAGAGTGATGACAACAAAAATAAAAAGCGTAAATTTTGAGCATCTAATAATAATGTACAGTGTACGTCATCCGACACGACGACGTAACGATGCCGACCCCCGGCTGCGCTCTTTAATTGTCTGTTTTATTTGTAATCCGATGCCGAGGCCCGCGGTTGGTCCCCCTCCGAAAATGCAGCGTGGATATTTAACACCGCTCCCGAATACAATATACAAAGTGAGATGACCGGATACTCGAAACAGATGAGGCAATATCTTCACATATATCTCATGGCGACCCGAATGGCGTAGTGGGTAGTGTAACTGCCTCCTGCGCCAGAGGGTGTGGGTTCGATCCCCACTACTCGAAAAATATTGTGTGATGAACATGGTGTTTTTCTAGTGTCTGGGTGTTTATATATGTATTATGTATTTATTTACAAAAGAAAAGTATGTTCATCACTTTTCTAGCACCCATAGTACAAGCTTTGCTTAGTTTGGGACTGGAAAATGTTGAGTAAAAATGTGTCCTAAAATCTTTATTGATTACTTATTTCAAATATTTTCGTTAAGCTTGGCTAACAACAGAAATCGTATATGCTAGCCCGCAGCATCGTATATGCCAAAACTACCGCTATACACAATTAGTCTGGAATTTACAATACTACTACTACGCCATTGTTTTACTACATTTTCTAACTTTTCTTACTTTCTACGCCATTTAAAACTATAATAAAGTCACCATATATAATTCCCCAGCATAGCGACAACTTTTCTTTTCTCTCTTTTTTTTGTGAGCTTTTTCATTATTTCGTATATAATTAATAATGAAGTCATGGCTAAGACTAACTGTGCTAAATAGGTTAAACGATAACTTTAAAAATAATTAGATATTTCGCAGGATAACAGCCAAAAGAGCGGCAGCGCAGTGCTACGGTCCGTATTCCTACATGAAGAGTCAGCAGTTGGTTAGTTACAAGAAATTTAACTAGAAATAAACAACAACATAACAAGTATCATAATAAAGCGCAAGCAACAGAAAATAATTGCATATAGTGATTTAAAAAAAAGTTTAAGTGGATCTCGCAAATACTCGTGTAATGCCGTATCGCTAAAGCTTAGCTGTCGTTTTGTATCAAAAACTTCAAGTGAAATGGTACTGTGGCTGAATAACGCGATTTAAATCACCATAATCACATCCATCCATGACCAGGTTCCGAGGAGGCATATTTAACAGAAAGTACTCGAACAATTTCCACGATCAGATGGTTGCTCAGACTACTGTCATATACCTGAACTACCCATTTACTTCGACTGCACCTTTCAAAACTAAGGAAGCATGAACCAAACAACTTATTTGCTGTAAACCACAAAACAAAGTCTTTTATTTTCCATATAAAATAATCGAAACTACGAAATTCTAAATAAGTGCATGAATTTCAAAACAGTAGTTGCCTTATTTTTCCTTTATACATATCCTTTTACAAATTATGTCTTATTTGATTAATAATACATTTGTTGTAAATTACAGCAAGTATGTTTTCTTGGGCTGCGTTATAGTGTTTAATATAGTGCATATTTAATCTCCAACAGGAAAGAGATAGGTAGTGATATCTTTTTTCAACTTTTAAAGCAGGCATTGAAAGTAATTGGTGATGAGGCCGTTCTCGAGGTACTATAGAGACTGCTCCAACCAAGAAATTTTTCTAAAATTTCTTTTCTTAAAGTTATAAACTTTAAAGTTTGTTCGAAACATTATCATAAACTACAAAAAACTGTTATAAAAATCACGTTTCATTATCTTCACATCAACAGAATTATCCAAGCAATACCTAGTTACGATTTTTAATACAAAAATATCATGGACTTAAACGAGGGCTCTAAAGACTACGTCGATATACATCTTAAAATAGATCGAGTACGTGAAACTTTAAATTTAGCCTTATCGATGCGTTAACCTCGCCTAAAGCAAGCTCATAACAATAATTGAGATTATGAACTAGAAGGAAATAGCTTGGCTTTAATTTTACTCTTTGATCAGAGACTTAAGTAATTGGTCCAGA